TGACACAACGACATATGCTGTATCTATACACAGGTTTTTATCAAAAGTGACTCAAGTTATGCTTATCGAAACCAAATATCGTGGTCCGTGTACAGACTAATAGTTGTTATCCCTGGGCCTCACTGCATGTCTCACTGAGTTATGTATCAAGAGATACTACTTCTTTGAGCTCAATCTAACACTTGTGCGTAACTCATTGATGCTTTGACTCAGGATTAGCATGTATCTAGGCAATATTCGGTCTGTGGTACTTCCTGATTGGTTCTTAACCCAGCTGGCGCCTAGACATACCTTATGGCTAAATTATCGGCACGGTCTAGCAGTTAGAGCAATATTACGGGGTAAAACACTCTGGGCCGTATTGAAAGCGCAAAGTTGACACATATCAGGCAAGGAAGAGGGATCTCTAATTCTTTCACCACGCGGATATTTACCTCATGTTGCCTGACTCGGGGTTGTAAAGTCGAGTGAGCCGGTCTGACCAAGTATCACAGATGATGGGGTAGGATGGCGCGGGCTGGACTCACGGAGTATGGTTAGGTGATTGTTTTGGCAAGTAATCAATATAATTAGTTGCTGCTAATCAATTGTGTATGTCGGATCAAGTTTGACTGGTTACTCAACTAGTTCAAGGTACCCTATGCTCTCTTTTCCATACACCGCTTGCATAAGCGTCGCGAGAGTAGTAGCGCGTCACAGTTTGTAGCCAGTCTTCCGAGATGCTGCATTGAGATTAGTGGGAGATCTCTTCACAAGCGAGGGCGGATGTAGCCTTAGGGTTGACGTCCCGAAGATGATCGATTACCTTCCGGCCATCGCCTACTGAATTTGCTAGTACCATTCCGAGTAGACATTAAAATGTAACAGCATTGACAGCGATGCAAACCTTGAGACACCCCCATACCGACAAATACTCGGGCTCAACTAAGAGCAAAACAGCAGCCCCCCTCGACGTGATAAAACGTAAGATCATCAGAACCCATATAAGACACTCGTACACAACATTCTTGGACCCCATGCTCGACTTTTATAACATCTGCCTCCATGATGGCATCGTGAGGGCAGTCCATTCATAGTTGTATAAGGAGGAGCATCGAATACTGGAGGACTGTGCTAATGCGTCATATTATTTGGGAGTAAGTGATGCGATGCATCTTATGCTCGGTTGTAGTGTATCTAGAAAGTATTCGTTAGAAGTTTATAAGCAATGAAAAATTAATCGTCATGCCAGGACAATGGAGTTCAACTTACAATTTGTAGTTAATAGGATGTTGATTGACAAGGTGGAAATGGAATCTGCGTTTCTTACTGGTCATGATGGTGGTGAAGGAAACAGCTCCGCTGCGGTGAGACTAGTAATCGACCAAGCACGCGGTATTGCCCGGAGCCATGACGTCATCCTTCGGCGGCGCGCGTGTTTGCAGCCGCGAAACGAGCGCCCGCATTCCCGCGTCATGCTACATATGTACATATCACATTCTGCTGCTCATCCGCAAAATCTGTAATACTTTACTAGTAACCTTTTTTGTCTTAATAATTTACCAGCCTTCGGAAGGCATCAAATGACTTGGTAGCTAAACCAAGCAAACACCGCCCACTTACCGTGTTCTCTAAGATGAGGCGCTGAAATAGTTTGTTCCTCAATCACTCGATATACCTGGTCCTGTTAGGCGCTGATGCGGGATCCTCAGTGGGTCTGGTTAGGCGGATTTCTCTTCATCCTTCCTCGGCGTATCTTAATTCGAGCAAGCCTTTTCCGAGACAGCTTGTGAATTGGCCACTTTGCTCTTCTTGGATTACAACTAGACGTTCCATAGTGGAGACTGCACATGATTCCTGGAAACATAGCATAGTAAGACGAGAGTGAACCGGAATTTTCCAGGCCCAATTTGATTTCCACAGGAATAAACTACTCGAAGCATGGAGATGCTCCGCTGAGTATTCCCCTTCTCTTCCTTATGATTAGCCTACCATCCAAAACCTATATCACAGCCTGTAATTTCAAAGGCCGTAACTTATAAAGACCATATTTTCGCCTTCAAGCTTCAAACATCACCGCCATCGACCGTATCACAGCTTCTCATCCACACTGCCAACAGTCTCGTCTTCAACTTGCCTCATCACCAAGTTTCGTATGTCCTACTTTCTCAAAATACAGTTGCTTCTAGACCTCTATGTTGTATTTATCGTACTAAAGGTCCATATTTTGTTAGAACGATGTCTCAAAATCATTCCAAGCGTCTCGAAAGGCTTCGTGGAGAGCTTTCAAGCCTAGAATCCATTATTGAAGGAGACCCCACAGGACAAAATCAAAATCCAAGTGCTGATCCTGGATCACCAATGACGAGATGGAAAAAAGAAAGTACTAGAGAGGATGGAGTTTTCATGGGATCGATTGAATCTGAAGCTGTAGATGGAAAGTGAGGGGAAGGTACTTCTGCATAAGCTTGGGCCGTTTTGTAATACCTTCTCGCGTACACGGTGTTTTATGGGGGGCTCTCATCATGGTTATTTGAAATACGTCTTTAGATTTGAGTAATGACTATGCATTTGCTTTGATTTTCTCGCCGATTTATTGTTATTTTGCATGCCAAACAGTTGTAGAGAAACTGTCCGCCAAAGTCCAACTGTTGAGACACCGGTGAACATCCAATAACCGGGTGATCTCCGACACCGGGATTGATGTTTCGAAGCGGCAGGCGTGGGTGACTCAGTGGGACGCCCAAGGCAGCCATCCAAGCTAGTGAATAAGGTTTCGGGATGATATGCCACGTGGAGCACACGTGGGAAAATAAAGCGTGGGGTCCATGAAATGTTGATCAGAGACGCCCTAGGTATCTTTGAGCTAGCGGTGGCAGTACGTGGCATTGGTGCGTCGGACTTAACCATTTCAGAAATTAGGATTTACTTCTAGGAGCAAGTAGATACGGTGGGGGCAAAGAGCATTATCGATCCCTGAAACATTACAACGTCGCAAGTGTACGTTTTAAACAAGCCAATACCTAGATTTTCCGGGGTTTGCCACTTGCAATCAAGCTTATTATGTATAAAAAAATAAAAAAAGAACAAGAGACAAATCCCGCGTGGATAAAGATGCCCATGAATCCCTACATCCCATGGTAAGCCTGCACACCCCACGGCGAGAGACCCTCGCGTGAGGATAACCGGTTCCCTAGCCTTCGGGCGGAAGGACGGGGTTCCCTGGTAATACGAGTTTTCGGTTCTATTATGAAGACATGGTTTTACACCTGTCTCTAAAAATTCGAGGATTCAAGCTCGATACTTCAGTCGGGAAAGCGTGGCGGCAATAAAGCGAATGTTTCAATTCGTATGGCAAACTGATGGTCCTGGATATCATCACCTTAGTCGTTTCGGGAGCTGAAATTCCTCACGTTTATCAAAGTCAAGTTAGGTATTGGCTGAATCCAAGCTCATGGGGTCCTTTCGTGTTCTTTCGTATTCGAAACGGAATTCGTGATCATATGTACGAGCTGTTGGCATGAAACCTCTATACTGTACTACAACGCTCCTACTTTCCACCTCCACCAAGGGCTTTTCTCAGCTCGACGGCACGTTTATACGGTGGTGCTGTAGGTGGCTGTACTGGATCGATACTCTCTCTTCCTTCCTGTAGATGGTAGGTAGCATCGGAATCGTACGCAGACAAGTCTCCGCATGCAACGAAAGGCACAACGTACCGTACCACCTCACCATTCTCAGTCTGTTCAACGATTTCTCCATCATCCGCAAGCTCCACAGTAGCCCCCTCTCCCAGTCCATCGTCCAACATTCCCAACGCCAGCGGCCGTTCCAAGCTAGGCTCGAATCCCTTTGGAGGAGCATAAACTTCACATACCACAAACGCCTCGATACTGCTGCCTCTGCTCGATCTCGGCTTCGCACATGTAACCCTAGTGAATAGTGTTCTCAGCTGTGCAAAAAGCACATCCACATCCCGTCCTCTAAAGATCTTCGCGACGAAGTTTCCTCCAGGTTGTAGAACGCAGACAGCGAGGTTCAATGCCGCTAGTAGTAATGATGCCTGTACGTATTCGTCCAAATCATGGAGTCCTGTAACATCCGGAGCACCGTCGCTGATGACCAGGTGTGCCTTCTCACCACCAAGGTGGTTCAAGACCAATGGGAGCGTGGACGGGTGTGTAATGTCTGCCTGTAATGTGACGACGCCCTGAATAGGGGTCATAGGCTGGAGATCTAACGAGATGATTCGGGAGGTGTTGGGAAGCGTGCGGGATAGGACTTGGGACCATGATCCGGGGGCGGCGCAGAGGTCGACGACGCGGGGTGCGTCCGAGGGGATCGAGAGGAGACCGAAGACATCGTGGAGCTGGAGGAGCTTGTAAGCACTTCGTGCTCGGTAGCCGGACTCTTTGGCAAGACGATAGTAGCTATCGCGTTTGTCTTTGCTGGATTTTCCCATAGTGAATTTCGTGGGGGAGGCTGACAGAAGGTGGGGTTGACACACCAGTGGTGGGCTGTACGCGGCGCGAGCTCAGGTCAGGTGATCAGGTCTAGGGTTTTCCTCAACCTTTCAAAAAATATCACAGGAAACTGGCTACCTATCTCTCCGCTCGAGAACATTATATGATATTGTATAAGAGGTAGAAATTTCTGTCAAAGGCGATGAATGCTAATTTGATCTGGAGACCACCTGATTAAACACCGAGTATGCAGGCAACGAACCACGTTCGGTAAAATAAGTAAGAATAACCGGATGAGTGACATTCTATGAATAACTTTCGCAGTACAGTAATCTGAAAACTACATGTGACTTCGCAGACGACTATGATCAACTGTTATTTTCGCTCCATATCTATGGTGCCTATCAAAAATCGCATGCGCAAGAGCCGCATCGTCGAGTGACACTTACGTGGACCGGAACCGAGTGACATCGCGTGCATCAAAACTCGCGCCACCCACCGCGAAAAACAAGCCATTATCCGAATTGACCAATTGTAAAATCAAACAAGCAAAAAGAATGTTCACAGATGGATTTGAACTATCGAAGTCCCTAGATCTAAGCCAGCCGTTCTTGCCATAAGACGGCTAGTACTAAGTCTGTCAGAGTAGGATACGATACCACTACGCCATGCGAGCATTTGTATGTCTGAAAATTACTAAAACTAGTATATATTCCGCTAAAAATCCAGTTGGCACTAAGTATACATCAGCGCCAACCACGACCATGCCGAATGGCGTAAATCAATGCAGTTGAACCAAACTATACACGTAATAAGCAAAGCTTGTATTGTAGATACACACATATCGTGCAAGTGCCCTCTACAAAGGCGCCTATGCAAGTTGATCTTAAATATTTCCATAATGTACGCTGAATGCAACCACTTACCTGCGAGCAAAATACAAATAAGGGCTCCAGGAATCTAACATACAACTCCGAAGATACAATTATAGAATTTTTTTTTATTTGTTTTTAGTACACTGATAGTTATAACCTTGCTACAATTCAATAGATACGCACCCATCCGACGAAGTCGGCCGGTTAGTAGCAGAAGGTCAGTTAAATCAAGCTTTCTATCGTCAGAAATAGCAACGCATTGCAAAGAAAGCACTGGGCATGTGTCTTCTGCTGTACGTATCAGATATTAATACGCCTTTGATATGCAATGTACAGGGGCGTGGTGCTCCCAAATTTACATTTCGTCTAGGAGCGGCCCAAATTTTACCTACACAATCCCTGTTGACGTCGATTGCGCACGTTCTTGGCAAAGATTTCCGACTCGGCCTTCATGCATCAAATCTTCTGCTGCTTCTACCCTTTCTCTTCCACTTGTGCGGATTGTTTATCTACCTCCACCTTGTTATCCTCCAACACTGGCTTTACCAACGCTTCAGTCAAGTCCTACACTCATTCAAAACATCAGCAATATGAAGGCCATCATTAAGCTCCTAGTCCTCTTTACCCTCGCTCTTCTCGCCGCATCTGCCGTACTTCGGCCCTCGTCAGTCGAATTCAAAGGCGCTCGGTACTCCGACTCCAAGCTCTCACGCCTTGCTATCGAACAACCCTCTCTTCAGAGATACCAGGCAGTCGGTCAATTCTCCCCTCGTCCTCCGTACTATGGCCAAGCTCCCAATGCTACCGAAATCTCCGGCGAATATAGCTATTCAATCTTCTGTTACATTACACCCCAAGCACCTGCCCTCATTGACCTTGAATTAGCAGCAAAAGTGTTGGACTATTATGGAAGCCAAAAGACATGTCCCAATGATCTGGTTCGTTGGAAGAATTACGAGTGCTTGAATATCATGGCGTTTAGAACTGTTGATATCGAGTTGTGTCATCACCCAAAGACGGGAATCCCCTGTGGTTTGGTTATTGATTCGACAAAGTTTGTGGCGAAGCATTGTGAGAGGAATATGAGAGCTGGTGGATGGACTATTGTTACTGGGCCTGGATTGAGGGAGAGTGGGATTAAGGTTCTGGTGTTGGAGTAATAAGTTACGGTTGAAGGACTATGAGGTAGATGAGTGTGATGGGATAGTCGGTCTGTATTGAAAATACTGTAGCCTTAGACCAAGATATCTATTGGGGGGAATCTGCTGATGTCAAAATAAAAGTGTTCTTCGTTTTCCCACCTCACTTGGTTCTGCTACTTGACTAAGTAACCTAGTCTCAGTTTTCCCAACTTCTTTCAATTTCTGATGATTCTATAACCAAAATTTATGTAAAGTACTGATAAGTATGGTCAACTATTTATGAACACCGATTGATGTTGGGTACTTCGAAGGTCCTTACCTAGACTCCAGTCCTGAAGATGCAGCGCACACCAGACTACGAGATACAGAGGTGCATTGTTCTACATGTATCATCATCTGATCTGAAGCTCGTTGTTCTACACAAAGAGTAGAAGTGATTTATGTTTTGAGGGCGTCGTTAATAACGGGGTTGACGCGTTTCGGCACGCGGCAGGTACACGACGAGACGGCCACGGACGAAAATCACGTTAATCTGGCACCAAGCCATTCTCATACGTCATTCTTTCTCTATGTCTGTTCTTCACTAGAACCTCACGCATAACCGCTACAATTCACAGGAAATAACCATTGCAACTCCGAAGCTACAGCCTATAACACCATTGTATCTTCGAATCAGCACCCCCAATCAAACCATTACATCGATGCCCTCCTCTCCGGTCTCGTGTCATCACCAACTGACGTTGTGATCTCCCTTTTCAGCGCTCTACTACTTTCAACCGTCGATGGCACCACCGAACTACTCCTATCCGACTGTTCAGGTTCCACTGGGACAATCGGTGATATGGCTTCTATACATCATTCTGTCCCGCATTAAGCTCCGCCTCGCGTCGACTTTTGGGTCGGTAGCCAGCCGGGGCAAAAGCGGGCTGTTGGTTATTGAAGTAGTAATCCGCACGATCTGGTGTTTTATTTACGGGTCGATCTACTGGAAGCTGTGTCATCGATGGCTGAACGCCCGCTTCCTGATCAAGCTCTCCCATTCCAGAAATTACCGGTGCTATGACTACGGGCGGCGGTGCTTCTGGGTTTCGGTTTTGATTCTGCGGATTGTTTTTGCAGCGCCCCCAGAGATAAATTCCTAGTATTTCAGCACCCACGAATACAGCCACCGAGTCGATAACTATACCTACAACCGCACTCACACTCACTGGCGGCCGATTCGGAGGCTTGACGGGGCCGTCTGTGCTGGTTGGTAAGGATGTATCAACCACAAAGTTGCCTCGTCAAATAACTTCTTCACCCTTGGATCCGCCCAGCCATCCCTTCGTGGTTCTTTCAGCCCAGCCGCTGCTCGCCGGACTAACTCGGGTTGTTTGTATGGCGCCGGATTTGGGACGTAGTTCGACACCCACTGTTTCAGTCGGCGATATTCATTCCCAGGCCTTGGACTAATAGGTAGAATACTCCATTGGGGTTATTCATGTCGAGTATATTGACTAGGCGCTTGTTGATGTATCGTTGCTCATTTGGCCGCCGAATAACCAGAGACCGTTAATAACAAGTTAACGGGCCATATGTGGCACTCCATGAAGCGCAACTTACTCCCAGCTCTTGCTATCTGCATCATGGGCAAGCACTCCACAGAACCTGCTTCGCGGAGGCGGTTAATCGCCAGAGTACGATATTGCTTTCTGATGGTACCATTTGCCCTCCTCGATATCGTAAAGCATCATCGCATCGTTCAACGGAAGCTGTATTGCCCATAAGCTCTTGACTACCCTTCTCGACGGCGGGCTTGGGAAAATCCTACCCCTTCGGTATCAATCGGATCATTACTCATCGAATCCACCAGGGTGATCGGCGTCTTCTCTGACATAATGGATAACAACATCCCGTTCTGTTTATCCGTCCCAAGGAATGGTTGTAGAATCCCGTAGTGGAATCCATAACCCGCATCTACCGCTGTATACCCATCCATTGAAAGATTCCTCAGCACCTTGGTCTTTGTGTCGAACTCCAACATCCCGCGGTGTCCCGCATTCCAACCATTTGGCCCTTGTGGATCAGGCGGCGATGCTGGTGAGGTGCGCGAGTTGGCATATCCTCTAAATACCAATAGATCTCGGTCAGCCTGGACTCGGCCATAGGCACCACTTCGGCCCAGTAGCATCTCCCCCCCCTTATTGACAGGTGGACTATGTCTCGGACGTTGTGCAAGGGTGGTCAGAGGCGGGTCGTCGACGGAGAAGGAGAGGGAGAGGGAGAGAGATAGTGTTTCTGAATTGAAGTCGGGGACAAAGGCGTCGGTATTGTTCTGACGCACCCGGTATTTTGCCATGCCGTCGGTGATTATTATTGAATCACCAACGCTCACCGAGCTGTGTGCCAGGAGCCAGCAATAGTTGCGGGTTAGAGAGTAGGGAACGGTTGCTTGGTTGGGAGATATGAGGCTGGAAACAGGGTCGAGGAGGTGTTGCTGCTGTGCGTTACTGACTGATGTTAGGAAAATCAAAGAAACGAATTTCGAGATCAAAGGCCGCATTTCGCTGGAGATTGAAGAGTTTCGTGAGTCCTGACTCGAGAGGAATATCAAACTGCGATTCCATCACTTTTTTAGAACCACGAGCTGATGAGTGATCAAGATATGCACCCATACGGCAGGGCTGCCTATCGATAATGCAGCAGTGTGCGACCCTCGTTTAAACAGCCCAAAGAAAGCCCAGTTACATCGATGAGATGAACCACGCGGGATCAGGAATTACGGGAGTAACTGGTGATGAAGTTATGCAGGATTTCTTTTTAAGCCGGTCAGCTCGCTACCCCACGTTTCAACATTAGCGGCTCCAACGATTGATTCCGTGGTTCGGACGACTCGGACCGTTTTCCCTACCGCTGAATGTGCACCGAAGCGAAAAACTTGTTACAGTGAACGACAGAAGCAACAAGACGCGAAGCTGCGGATGGTTGGAGCTCAGCTTTACGTAAAATTTGCAAGTGGCGAAGTGCGCGAGCTGATGCAACATATGGGGGCCAGCGCCTTAAACGATTGCTGCGCGTTGCAACGTGCGCACATGCGTCATGGGAAATTGACACCGGAGTGTATGGTTCTGTACCACGGAACCATGCGAAGAAGAAGATTGGATTGATTAGGCTGTGCGCAAGGCGTGTTTGTCGAGTGCGTGTTGTGATGCAGGTACGGGAGTTCAACGGAAATACTTGGGTGAGGGATGTGTAGGACGCAGATACCCGGTGTACCGACTGAACTACGATCAGCGAACACCCAACTCCAATTGATATCCGTACCTGGTGAAATCCCTACAAGTTGTCGACATAGAATCCTAGCTGAAGGAAGTTGAAGTAAGAGTTATGATTCATTCGGAGGATCTGCAGTCAGTATGCAGTGAGAGTTTTTATCAAAAGTAGCTTCCACTAAGAGCCTATTGGGACATGAGGAGGTAGTCGGCATCATACCGCATCGCCCTCCTCATCTCCCCAATGGATTCCTGTTAGAAAAAACTCCTGATCATGTTTTTTTTTCGCTATCTATTAAATATCTTCAACACAGGCAACTAGTCTACCGGAAGTGGTTTCCCCCAAGAGCCCATTGGGACATGAAGGGGTGGTCGGCGTCATACCGCATCGTCTCCCTCACCTCCCCA